TGCCTTTGAATGGTCCTTCAAAGCAACACTTTTCGATAGCTCATCCATTTTGGCAACTTCAATGTAAAGAGCCAACATCATATCAAAATGTTCTCAAGTGTTGGTGATTTGAAACCTGACTTCAACAACAATTAAAGATGACTACTTAAGAGCAATGCAAGGTAAGCAATCAGGCAAGGTTCTATACAATCAATTCCGAACAAAAGCTTGATTTCAAGTCCCAACTTATTGCTCTCTTTCTCCTTGTCTTGGAGGCAAGAGCAATGGCAAAAGAAAGATAGAGAAAAAGCATGATATGATATAATTTTTCCCTTAACCTTGATAATATGAGATACTTTTGCTCTCAACCCTGATGATATGAGATAGTTTTGTACTTAAAGAAAAACATAGAGGAATTCGATGCTAATGTAAACTTCTTGATCAAAAAAAATTTCTTGTTGAGGAAATGAGTTGGGTATTTTTAGGGACTTCGTTGAAAAGACATTCTCAGAGAGGAGGAAGGGTGAGTATTTTGTGAGGCTGAGTTGAAGATGCATTCTCGGCAAGAAAGAAAAGCTGGTTATTTTTGGAGGTCCATCTTGCCATGGAGGACAGAGGTTGACATATATAGGAATTTACCAATAGCAAATAATGGTGAGGTTTAGACCTTTTCATCCACTCTCGTCTACAACATAGTTGGAACAGTAAAATTCACATGTTTTAACTTTGTTAGAGATATTTTGACAGAGTTGTCCTTGATATCTGAAAGTTGAGATTGAATCTCAAAAATGCCAACAAACTGGTTTCAAGAAAATAAGGGCTTTTGAAATTCAAAGAGGTGTGTCCCTTTGATTTTTTAACAAGTGGCTTTGTTGCCTCTCCTTTTATAGAGGCATTAATTATATTCAGAATGCATGCTCGGAAAGTTGTCTGCTTGTGAAAATTACCTTTGTTGTATTTGTGAAATTTCACTTCATCTGACCTCATTTTCTTTCATCAGTTCCGAAAATGGCTTGCCTTTCTAACCGTTGTTTGGATTTGAATGTTGTAGAAGATGCATACGTGCCTCTTTAGGAAAATATCTGGCTACTATCCTTCTTATCCTCTAATGATCCTTTTGTGGTTAGAGACTTTGTGATGATGAATGATATAACTGCTATAGTAGTAGCTAGGAACCTTCTCACACCCAAGGATAAAAGAATGCTTTCAAAAATGTCTAATGAATTGGTTGTTCAATACTCTATGGCTTTCAGTGTTAAGTGGGTGAGTTATGTATCCAACATGGGCCAACGTCTACTTGCTTAAACTCACCAAGTTGAATCATTAATGGATGAGGTGGCAAGTCTAAGACAAGACATTAGAAGACTCAAGAAGGATAATAGAGAGTTGCATAGACTTGTAAATGATTACTCGACGAATATGAAAAGAAAGCTCAACCAGTTGTAGGAAACCGAAAGTCGGATTCAAAATTCTGGTTCAACTTGTTAGATATAGGAAACTATGGAAACTTCTGGTTCCATTAATATGAATCAATGAGTTTTTAAGCAAAGATGTTTCCTAATATCATATGCTTTCACAAGAATTCTTGGGTGTGATGAATCCATGGAAGTGTTTTTTGCCTCAAATGTCGATGCTAACCAAATCGAGTTTTGCTAAGTTCAACATTTTCTTATTCCCAAAAAGGAAGAAATGAGATATGATGGAACTTACAATAATTAATTCATTTCATATACCATATGTCCACACAAATTGTTATAACTTCAAGTTCTTAACATTATTCATGTTCTAAACTTCAGGTCAAAACATTATACATATGTGCTCGAATTTTATTCTTGATATCGATATTACTATAAACATTATGTTTGTATTTTTGAATTCATGCCCATACTTAATCTGTACAACGATTAAAGAAGTAGAGGTCCTCATCTACATGAATCAGGGAACTTCGACCCTTGTTTATTAGTATGTGTAAACGTTGCTCTCATTTGATCAAAAACTCTAGGTTTTAATTTTAACCAAGGAACTTTGGGTCCGACCTTTTTATATGATGAGAATCAAGAAACTTCAAGTCCTATCTTTTTATATGATAGAACTTCAGGTCCATCTTTTTGCATGCTAAACTGCAAACTGAACAAAACCAAACCGCAATATTAATCAACCTATGTAATCCCTTCTAAGCCATGTAGTTCGATTATTGTTTCAAATTTATACAAACTGCAGTGTTTGGTTTGATCTGCGATTTGGACCCAAACTGAACCAACCGAAACTACCTCAGCCCTACTCAAGACCCATAAGCATAACCACTCACTTTTAACAATAAAAACTTCAAAGACGGATATTACCACTTAGTATAATGGTATATAGTATTTGTCTTTCACTTTTATATAAAAAATGGATATTAAGAGCCTTTTCCTTCTCTCATTCTCTATAAATATGGAGGAACTTACTACGAGGAAGTTGCTTCATCAGCAAGCTTTTAAGTAGGACAATTGTTCATATTCAGTGTCTTTTGAAATTCTGAAGTAGCCCAGACAGGCTTTTGCTGCTTCAATTGCTCGATTGGTTTTCCAGACACACTTCTCTATATTTACTCTTACATTTCAGCTAATAAGGTTCTCAAATTCTTTGTTATACATACTGCTTTCACTGATTCACTGGGTACATTCTCTTTCCCAACTATCACACTCTCAGTAAAAATTGGCTTTGATCACAATGCTGTTTCTTTGCACTTTGGAGTGGAATTTATTTGGTTATCATTTATCTAGTTCCACAAGTGTGTGACATACAGAGAAAGTGAAAATCATAAAAAAAGATGGACTCATTTTGTTATCTTTTTTCGAAAACTCGGTAAATCTTGTAGGGAGAAGCTATGGAACCAGTTAGCATGAAGATTGATAGAACCCCGAAGCTATTTGCTGAGTCTCTTCCATTTGCCAGAAGGTTTCTTTCTGCCTTTAATTATTGATTTTTTAAATTAGTATTGTTTGGCCGAAAGAAAGGAAAAATGAAGAGAAGAATGTATGGGGGAAAAGTGAAAATTTCCTTTCGATTTTTTGGTTAGAAAATGATACTAGCACTAATACCCGCGCGATGATGCGGGTCATCAATAGTGACATCATTTTTTCAATAGGACGTTACATTTTAATTACATAATAGAAAATGATAGAAAACAGAAATTGTAAAAAAGAAGTTGATCATAGTAACTCTTGACAAAAACCTACTTCGCAAGGATGGAAAATTGGAGAAAATAGAAACGATCAACAAAGAAATGCATAAACAAAATGATTGAACAAAACAGGTTCTTTCTTGAGAACAAATGTAATTTTGCACACTGAATATATGTACATTAAGGAGAGTGGTAACATACGTTTTAATTTGTACAAATTGAATACTCGCAATATCAACAATGACATAATTTTTGCCAAGACATTAGAAAAATTATATTAATATTTGTAATTAGTGGATACCGTAATTACACGATAAAAAACAATAGAGAATGAGAATTGGATAAAGGAAGGTGAGCACATTAAAGTTTTTTCACAAGAGCTTATTAATTATGCAATGTGCGTTTTGTTTGCATTTCGTGGTTACTATTTTGTATCTTAATTTTACGTAATGTAAAGTATTTTACTAAAAACTGTTTTGTCATTGTTAAACCATGTGTGTGTATCTAACAGTAGCAAAAAATGGAGAGATGTTCATACCGAGCTTGATAAAACAGAGCAATAGGTTGCTCTTTGGAGGACTGGTGCTTGTTTGATGTTGGTAGGAGATTGTGTCAACATAGGAAAAAGACTAAAAAAAAAAAAACACAACATTAGTAAGAATTGATGGGTAAACATTAGTAAAGTTATTGTAGTAACGTGCATGATTTGGTAGAGGTTTGGATAAACTGAAGCAAATTGAATACTATAATTTACAGTGAAATAAAAATACTATATTCAAACATCCCAAAATAGGAATGAACTTCCAGAAAACATGGGCATGAAAATAAATGGCATTACTCACCCATTTAGTTGGACCATCAAACTGGAGCATTAGAAGGATCATCATGTACCTATAAAACCCAAAGGTAAATCTTAGCAACCCCAAAGTCTGTATGCAAGCATGAATAAATATGCATGTCTGAATCTATTCATAGTGAAGAAGACTACCTTAAGAAATATTTGCATCTGCAGCTTCATATGGCCATACAACGAAAAGCACTGCATACGATAACAAACTACAGTTGCACCACAAAAGGAATATGATCTTCCCCCTCAACTTGTATTTGCCATTGTTACTGTAACATCTGCATACAACATACATAAGCACTGATTTGAAATTTCTAAAGAAAAAAAAGCTCTTATTTGATAATGCACCAAATCCTATCCAAAAACCAAAGGGGTGCCATATCCCTAGATTAACAGAGCGTCTTTCTTTGTTCCAAAACAAATTTCAATTTGGCTTTGGTAAAGTAGAAAGATTACCATATACCTCATGCATAATGTCAACTTTGTTCTATTATTCGAGCATTATATTGTCCTTTTAGTTCTATCTCTCAACATGGGAAATACAATAAGACAGTAAAAACAAAAGTTTGTGATAGCTATTACATAGTGAAAGAAAATAAGACATTCACATAGTGATAGCTATTTACTGTCCTTTCTCACCATAATCTCGACTCTATTCCATTATTCAAGCATTCTACCGTCCTTTTAGTTCTACCATATGTGAATGTCTTCATACATGTCAGCATACACACACACACACACACACACACACACACACACTGAATTCTGAAAGCAATGAGAGAAATATACCCTTGGGGTGTTGATACCAGATGGGTGAGTGAGGAATCTAAGATGTTTGAGAGCAGAAATTTTTGAGAGATATACTATTAACATATAAATAAATTTTTTATATCAATGTTTACATGTACGTTGTTTAAGAAGGTAAATTAGCAAGATATACAGTGATCAAAAGATTAAAAGCAATAAAGTGCTCATTATTCGAAATATACATGAAAGTTGTCATTCACATGATCCAAATGGTAGTTAATACAGAGGACAAAACATAAGGAAACAAATATTATAGCGGCATAAGTTGAATAATTGCAGCAAGTAAACAAATAGAAGACTCAAAAACTGGAAATCAAAGCAGGTAACATTGAGTTTTAATAACCGAAAAGGGAACTTGTTTAAGCAACTCCACAGCAGCATTTATACTTGGATGATGAGCTGCAAAAACAAAAAAGAAAACACAAATTAAAATAAAAATATATAATTTAACACTAATCCAAGGATTAAATATCAAATATAAAGTCATTAGGATTGGGACCTTTGCATTGAGGAAAATCTACTACATTATAAATTCCCTCCTGATAAAGCCCAATCAGGGGGTTTTCCGGTGAGCCACGAACTACTAACTTTGCGCGACACCGCCATCCCCACTAACACCAAACCCAGATAATATGAAGATCAAAACTAACCAATACCAGAAAGATATTTCTTTTTATTTAAATTTTATGAAAAGGCCTAAACTTTACGAAATTAAGGGGAAAAAAAAAGTTGAGTAAGGCACCAATTTGCAACTGTTAAAAGTGAAATATGAGACTCCCAATTGTCTTGAAGAACTCTGTCGCCTCCTCGATGATGACCGGACAGTGGAGATTGAACTCGTGCTTAGAGCCGAAGCACTTGATTATACACCGAACAGAAAACAAAATTTAAATCAAGTTAATAAACTAATAGGGATTTGAGCTAAGAGTAACGATTCGAAGTGCGGGCAGCGGAGGGCGCAGGTTAGCAGCGGCGAAAGAGGGGTTGAGCTAGGACTCAGTGAGAGAGAAGGTAGTGCTGAAGGCACTATTTGTCAACCAATTATATAATAGCCACAAAAACAATGCTAAAATTTTCTACACACACAAAAAGAAATTGACAAAATTTAACCAAATGTAATTTTAGCAGAGGAAAACAAAAAAGTAAATAGAACAGAAACAAAATCTCAAAATCCAAGTAAAATGAAGAACAAAAATCGCATGACCAAAATTAATATATAAAAAAAAAAACCCAACATGCATGAAAGACAAATAATCAGTGAAAGCAAGGAAATCCATTTGCAAAGAAGGTTTTTGTTTGCGAACCTCAACAACTGGATCTTGTTAACAACAAGGCGAGGAGCAGAACCAAGCCGGAAAAAATTGAGCCAAAGCTTCAGAAAAGTGGATCTTGTGAACAACAAGGAGAATTAAGCCAAAGAAAATTGAGCCAAGCTTCAAAAAATTGATCTGAACTGGTATCTAAGTTTTGAAGGGTGTGGGTGCAACTAGAATCAACGAAACCAGGACAAAAATTGAGAGGCTACAGTCGAAATAGAGGCTTGATCGATGATGATTTCTATGATTTCACGGGTGTGGAGGCAGTCAAAATCCGCACGGCACCAAAAACCGACAACGCGAGAGGGCGAGTTTGAGATCAATAGAAGAGAGGTCTATGAGAATCCAACGAAAAAGAAGGGAAAAATCCAGAAGATACAACCCAAATAAAGGGTAGGTCGATGATGGACGCGTGGATTGAATGGGCAAAACAGCCATTTGACTGTATAAATGTGGAAACATCAAGGAAAACAGAGGAAAAATCCAGGGGCAAAACCGTCTGCCCACTGGTCATCCACAATACCATCTTACTGAGTTTTAGTATATAGAGATATAATATATATATATATATATATATATATATATATATATAATATAATTTGTCGTTCAGGGAAAGGAAGAGGATTCTAGGTTGGAGAAAGCAAGGAGCAGGGAGAAAAAGGAGGGTGCCCAAAAAAGCAAAACGATTCTAGGGTTTGATGGAGCCTGCAGCCAGTTGAAGCGGTGGAAAGGATGAACACCGAGTTGAAGAGAAAGAGGGAAGAAGCAGCGTGACCCACACGTCCAATTTTGCTCTCCGTTTGACAGCAAAGCAATAGGAAAGGGCACAGGTACGCGTGGGCAAAAATTGGAGGGATTGCGAGAAACGATGTCACACCCCGATCGAGATCAGGGCATGCTGGTCGTCACGTGGAAGTGACGTAACCAAGTGCATAGTGCGGAAGCTAAGTAAAATAGTAATAAAAATGGTACGAATAAATAAAACTAGCTTTACACAACGTAATAAAAATCAAGTGCAAGCGAAAGTGTGAACCCTAAGTTCAGAGCATAAAGCCTAATGCAGTCCAAAAGGAAATGACGACAACAAAAGCACACCTGAAGGTGGTCCTACACTGGTGGTGGTCTGTCAGATATATCGGGAAAATCCTCAGGGAAGCCACCAAATGTGCTAGCCAACTAGAACCTGGAGGGGCGCAAAACAAAAGCGTGAGTGGGCAAAAACAAAGCTTTTCGAAAACCAATTTAATAAATAAGTTCTAACCCTTCGCGATAAAACCTGTATACTTCCCAGAAAATAGTATATATATATAAGTCATGCTCGAAAAACGTGCCATGCATTATGTATTGAAGTAATATGCCAGTGCTCAGGAAACATCAAATCAATACCATGTAACTGTCAGCCGGAGTCACCTAACGTGACCTGTACGGCTGAATCTAGAGCTCGAATCTCCATCTCACTAACTATACCTGCACATGAGTCGGAACCACCTAAAGTGGTATGTACGACAGGCCTGGGTGTAATATAAGTACGCTCTAGTGCTACGATCACGTGAAGGCTGGGCAAATAATCACGGGTCACCTACGAGTCGGAACCACCTAAAGTGGTCTGTATGACAAGCCTGTGCACCTAACTTGGATCCAAGATGAGCGTGTGGTGCGAGAGGTGAACATCACGTGAAGGACTGTGCCCTACTTTGGGCGGGAGCACTAACACCGAGGGTGCAGGTTATGAGCTCTCTATGTAACTAGAAACACTACTAAACGTAAATGTAAAATCATACTCACCTAGCACTTACTTGTGCGTTCACGGCACCAATACACATGTATATATATATATATATAAGACTAATAATGCATAAACGAACGGCAACCAATAAACATGGCATAATAGTGTAAAAACATTTCAATTCATTTTTTGGGAAACGTGTAAGTATATAGGTATATACGGAATACGTCTCACTTATATGCGAAACAACTATAAAAATGTTAATTTTAAAGCACATAACCAACCTTTAGAAATAACTTCTCATACATTGCTCAAATGGGGTGTATGAATACACCAACGTGATCTACTCAACCTCAGGAACATCCATATTTTTAGAAAAAAATTTCACCGCCGCATGCGCCCCCACACTCCGGCCAAGGCACGGCCACACTCAGGCACGTGCCTGGCACGCTGACGGCGTCAGTTGACGCCGTCAGGAATATTCCGTTATCTTTAGCGGTTTCCGTCAACAGTGTTAGGAATATTTCGTCCAAATTGATGGAATATTTCGTCGTCTTCTCCGGCGAGACTCCGGCGTCGTCGCCGGCGTCGGAAAATCGAGAAAAATTCAAATCGTGATATCTTCTTCGTTTTTCAACCAAATTTCACAAAATTGGTACCAAATTGAAGCTTACAACGAGAGGAACAAAATCATAACACTTTCAAGAGCTAAAATCCATGAAATCTCGCCTGGAAAATACCCCCAACTCTGGCCAACCTCAAAACTCACGATCTCGACGTCCAAAACCTTCAAACGAACCACCCCGAGCTTCCTAGGGACCTCACCAAGCTTCCTACAAGCTTGAAATTCCCAAAAACATGAGAAATCACGTGTGCATGAACAGTACCAAAATCGGGTATCTCGAGTTCGACGTGAAAACGAAGTTAACCTTACCTGAAATGGGTATGGTTGGACTCCTACGAGCCTCACGAACGTGGATATGTACTTTGTTTCTTCGATCTGTGAAGCTTTTATGGGTTTGTGTGTGTGTCCGTACGTTGTATGGAAAATGGGAAGGGAAAGGGAGCTCATGACAGGTGCAGGGATAGGGGGAAAGGGTGAGGAAATTATGGGAGTGTGTGTGTGTGTGGTCCACAACCAGCCACACCAACTCAAAACAACCACACAACATAAAGAAATCGCACTAGGGGCAAAATTGTCTTTTCACTCGTACGTTTTTAAAATTTTCGAGACGGGCTGTCACAAACGATGTGCGGAAGAAAGGAAAGACGTGATGAACAGTGATGGTGAACTGTTCCAAATGCATGATATTGTGTTTTTTAATTATTTTTTTCTCGTGACAGACGTCGTCTCTCATAATCCATGCTCATCTTTTGTTTCTCTCTCTTTCTTTTTCTCTTTTTCTATTCTTTTTTTTTTTTGGCATGTTCCAAATTTTTTTTTTTTTAATGATTTTTTAGTGGAAAGGCATGCATCATTGCTGCCAGGTGTGAATTAGGTAAGAAAAAAAACGCAGGAATCGAGGAGGGAGTTTGAATGAAAAAAAAGATACATAGGATACCAACACATGTAAAACATGGCACCTCGAGGGCCAAAATCGTCATTTTACTGTGTAAAAGACCAAAAAAGCAAGACTTGAAGAGCAACTGAGGGGCAAAATTGGAAAAACACCGGTGAATGAACAGTAAAAAGGACACAGAGGGTATTAACAGAAAAGTTAGGCATTTAGTAAACACTAGAAATTGCTGCCCGCGCGTTGCTGCGGGATTAGAAATTGTATGGAAGATTGATAAGCTGATTCTAAATCATCAAGTTTCCAACTGCGATGCATGACAGTCAATTGAAACAATTGAAACATTTTCTCTAAATTATTAAATAGCATTTAGCACAAACTGACTTGCAAATTCAAATGCAAGAATGCAAATGAAGATAAATTGTCAAATTCCATACATGTCAAACTTCATTTAGGAAACTGAAAACCACAAAAATAAATTGATAAACCCACAAAGATAGTTCACAATTATAAATGTTGAATGCTGATAAAATATATAATACGATGATCTCGGTTTCTCTCATAATTATAGAATGTTGAATGCAAACAACATACCCAAATTACCAAACAAACCAATCAAAATTTCCACTCCTTGGTTAATATCAGAGAATGCGAAAACCAAATCTACGAACCCCACACTGTCAACTGATTCCTTACCAAAATTATGGCAAGTATTGTTATACAATTCCAATAATGTTGTTCGAGTACTCCTTGAACATGCATCATTTGGTATATCCATCCCCCCCCCTCTCTCTCTCTCTCTCTCTCTCTCTCTCTCTCTAAAAGTCATTGCTAACAGTAATTATATAATAACAGGCTAAAAGAACTGTCAACTACGTTATCAAGGAAAAACAAATGTCAATGAGAAATGAAGATAAAGAACCTTTACTGGTGTACTCGAGAAATTGAGAATCATTATCTGCAAACGGCCTTCGATTGGATCACCTCTAAAATTCTAAGGTGCTACAGCTACTTTAAGAGTAGCTTATGTCCAATACAACCCTGCAAGAATAGTCATTCTTCAATATTTAAGCAGGATTTGAAACAGGGCATTAAGATAAGGTTACAAATATAGTAAGCTCCCAATCGAGCATTTAAATGGAAGAGACATGCGAAGGCAGTCAAAGAACCCAAAAATATCAATGTTTCAAACGAATATCTGTCACAAAATTATTGCACTCGAACTACCCTAATAACACGTCATGGGCATACTCCCATGATTATCTGAAAAGATATCGTTGGTTACCGTTGACAATATATGGCATTCTCTTAAATTGAAAGCGTAAACAATGAAGAATGCACATGAACAACGCACAATTTCTTTCACAACAGTTTTACAATGCAGTAGTTTTGAATTGGAAATTCAAAATGAACTTAGTTCAATCTATGAAATTCAATAATTTAATCAAATCAAGACAAATGAGCAAAATTGTCCTATATTAAACACGTAGTTGGAGCTTGGAACGCATAAAATGAAAAAGAACATTAGACCATGCTTTCCCCAACTAATTTTCAAATGTATCTGTGTTAATTTGAAACCAATATTTATCCAATTAGAAAGTGTAGAGTCGTTGATATGTAAATTGTTTAACCTTGAGGCTTGCGATAACCACAAATGTTGGCGTGACTAATTGTTGCAACACAATGGAACTGAAGTTCTTTGCAACATCAATACATAGTGTAACTCTTTTTTTTTTTTTTTCTTTCTCTTGAATCAATAGACATAAACAAAAAAAAGTTAGCAAGTAGTATTGTATTTACAACATTTGGAGATGATTTGTCAACATGCTTTTACCTAATATTTTGAATGTAGATTTACACTTGTTTTCAAGCCTTCTAATCAGCCACTTTTTGTTCTAACTCTTGTATTGCATTAATGTGTCCAAGAACATCCTGTAATCTCAAAGAAACTTATGATAATTAATATAATAAAACCTAAACAAAATACCAAATTCAACTCCAATATAACGAAAAACTAAATTAACTTGTGGTGAATTGATGGCTTACTTTTTACAGCAATTCTGTAATTACAAATTCTTCTGTTAAACGGTGACTGGGAGATGTTGAAGCTGCATAAGCTATTTGAATTATGCCTACTATAATCAACCAGGGAAGAATCCTTTGTAACCAAATAGAGGTATTGGAGGACTGATACCCATGAAAGCTGATATGCTTTCTATAAACAACATAACTCTACCAAGTTCACAATTCTCATAAATTCCATTAAAAAAATCTACCAAACGGAAATTTCACTTGGAATTTACTGTTAAGCCAAACTACCAAGAAATTGGAACTTATTTTGTAAAATAATTAACTTTTCAAGTTGAAGCAGCTCCAATCTTAGGGTTGGCGACCTCAAGCATTGTGGCAACTCCTCTGTTCTCATCATCCAAAATTGCTCCTTTTTTATAGAGTATCCTTCAATGCATTGCTGCTCAACACCCAAATCATCAAATGCAAGAAAAAACATGTTCTAAGGTTTAAATGGAATTCCACAAATTCCCCAAATGGGCAACTCTAGAATTGTAAAGAAACTGTCTTTATCAAATCTTCAATTAATTATAGCAAAACCCAAAACTCAAAAAGTTTTAATCAGCTTACATGACCACTCATCAGCAAGCTCAAAGCAACAAAACCCAACAAACCCAAAATATTCGAATAAATCCCACAAAAAAAAATCTACTTAAAAAAACCTACAAACAAAAAATAACTCACTACTTTTTCATACGAATTCGAACAAAGGTATAGAACATACCAATTTGAAGCGAGAAATCTCAGTGAAAATCCTCGAGGAAGCCACGTCGATCTCAAGAAGCAGAGAAAATTAGGGATTTTTTTTCTGACTCCAAATCATCCTTAAGATGGCGTTATTCCGTCGAAAAAGAGAAAAAAAAACAAATTAGGGATTTTTTTCAGTGAAGAAAAAGAGAAAATTAAAAGAAGAGAAAAGAACATTAGGCTTTTATTTCAACTTTAGGGTTTCCAATTTCTGATCTCTCTAGGCAGAGGAACAGAGATAAAGCAACAACAGTAGATTGAGTAAGGGGAAGAGCGGCGGTGGTACTTGCAAAGCTCGAATGTTCATGCATGCAATTAGAATAATTATTTATCATATGTTTTGATGAGGATTATGTATAATTACCTGTTACCCCAGCGAGGGTGAAGCTCAAGAATCAGAACCTGTTCTTCAAAGGTGATGTTGGCACGACGGACATCGGGGAGGAGATAACTGAGCCACCGTAATCTGCAGCTCTTTTCTTTTCAGACCTGGGTTTGGTTGCAAAATTGAAAACACATGGTCAACTCGTTAGGCAATCATTGGTAAAAGCAAGAGGGATCTGAGGAAATATAGAGATAAAAAAAATACCCAGGAGAAGGAGCGGAGGAGAAGGAATGAGGGAGGAGCCTGGACGGGGAGAAGTTGTCCAACGGAGGAGAAGCGAGGAGATGCCTCGAACGGAGGAGGATGTTGTGGTTCGCAATTCTGAGAGAGTGAACCGGAGAGGTTCATCGGGAAACAAACGGAAAAGCTTCGTTCTCGAAACAAATGGAAGATTTCGTGGGTAAAAAACCGATCCTGATCGAATCGAAAAATTGATGAAATAGCTGATGAAATCTGTAGCCACCGAGAGGTTTTAAAATCACAAAAATTTGAACACATAAAAGAAAACTCAAAAACAATAAGCTGGAGAACTCACCAGGAAACCCAAGGTTTCTGCAGGATTGACGATTTCCTGAAAACCATGCTTTTCTAGGTTTAAACTTTCTTCCCGAAGGCAACGGACCTAACATTATTTGGAAAGAAAATTCGATCACGAATTGAAAAAAAAAAAAATTGAGAGAGAGAGAGAGACGAACCTGAGCTCGAGAGAGATCGAGAAATCCGTGGAAGCAAATGGAAGATCCCTGATTTTCCATCTTTCTTCCGTTCTTGGATGAGCAACACGTGTATAGCAGGAAGAAAATCCAACGAAAAGGCACACGGATGAGAACGCGTGGGCAACGCTGTGCACAGAGAAACAAAAAGCAGAAAAGCGAACGAAGAAGGCGGAGCAATGAGGGACGCATAGGCAAATGAGGGCAAAACAGTCACTGCACTGCACAAAAGAGCAAGCAGCAAGGGAAACCAAGAAAAAATTCAGGGGCAAAACTGTCCGCCCACTGGTCATCCACAGTGTTCAACCCTTACGGGTTTTAGTATATATGATATAATTTGTTTCCTTTCAAGGCAGTTCCTCTCATTTTATTTCTTGAGCGGTCTGGAATTGATATGGAAATGCAAAGAATATACCTCTTTCAGCCTAAATGGTTAAATAGATTCTTGAAATTACTATTGTTCTGACTTACAGTTACCAGCTGGAAGCATTAGAAAAAGCAATCAAGCAGAACACAATAGTGTTTTTGGAGACTGGCTCTGGAAAGACTCTCATCGCGATCATGCTTCTCCGCAGTTATGCCTATATGCTTCGCAAGCAATCTCAGTTGATCACCGTATTCCTTGTTCCCCAAGTTGTCTTGGTCACTCAAGTATGCAGACCTACTACTCTCTCCACAGTTCTCTCTGTGCACTCGTACATTAAGCCTGGAATATATGCCTTGGAAAACATTGGATTTTGATGGCCTACGACTTATATCTCTTTCATTGCTCAATATAGTAACAAATTAACATGGTTACGTGGAAATCATGTTCGACTGAAATTTGTTATGCAAAAGCTGATAACAGTGGTATAAATTTGTCATTGTTAAGTCTCCAAAGTAAAATTAGGAAAATGTTTTATGTAGGCTTTAGAACCTAAATATATTCCAGGGTTTGTTAATTATTTTATCTTTATTTTTTTTATATCCTGTTGTGTCTTATAGCAAGCTGAAGCTGTGAAAATGCATACTGACTTAAAAGTGGGTATGTACTGGGGAGATATCGGTGTTGATCTCTGGGATGCAGATACATGGAAGGAACAAACTGATAAATATGAGGTGCGAGTTTTTTTTTTTTTCTTTTATTTAAAATATACAGAAATATGTATATAATTATCCTCCATTTTATGAATCCTTTTCTTCGATGCTGTTTCCTCAGTTCATTTGGCCATTTCTTGGCTAGTCTGATTTGTTTCATTTTTTATATTTTTTTCATCAATTAGTCACCAAATTCTTTTTTACGGGATGTTAGCTAGCATCCATAATTGTCTTTCTTAAAATGTCAGCTTATAAGTACAACAATTACAGTCTCTATAAACACAAGCACACTCGCACTCATTCGCTCACACGCTCACAAAATTTCAGCAATTGTGAAATATTTTGGTAAAGAAACTCCCAATTACCATTACTTACTTTAAATTTAAGATTTTTTCTTTGTCGTATAGTGTTTCTTTTATCCAAGACCGAGCTCAAGACTAATGATCTTGTCATATATGTTTCCATATGGCTGAGTGTATGATCTTTTAACTTTTGACCTTTTAACAGGTTCTTGTGATGACTTTTGCGATCTTGCTTAGTAATTTGAGGCATAGCTTTATCCAATTAAGCATGATAAAGGTCTTGATTATGGATGAATGCCATCATGCTAGGGGTAACCACCCATATGCATGCATAATGAAGGTGTGTGATGTCTATTTTAATTTGTTTCCTCTTAAATTTGTCTGTTGGAAAAAAAAATATAGTACCTTCAATGGCAACATGCTTAACCGTTGATTAATTATTTAATGTGAGTTTTGTGACTGCTTCATGTGCCAGAAGATTTGTCCACATGATATAGGACATCACCATACCTTACTTTAAATTAAGTGACTGAACGTAATTGATCCCTAGTTGTGTTGCTTCTTTACATGCAATTGTTGCATCACAATCCATGCTTTTGGTGATACTTTAAGGATTTCGATTATGTGCAGGAATTTTTCCATCGTCAGTTACATTCCGGTGAATCCAATCTTCCAAGAATATTTGGAATGACTGCTTCCCCTATAAAATCTAAAGGTACAGGTCTTAAGATAGGTTATATGACATCTATCAATTATATGAGTAAACTTGTATTCTTTGTGCGTGCAGTTTTTGTTATGAAACTTCTTTCTTTTGATACAGTTGGAAAATCACAATCGTCCTATTGGAAAGTAATTCAAGAGCTTGAGACCCTGATGAATTCAAAGGTTGACTCTGTTCACTGCATTAAATCTTTCCTATGGTCTTATCTCATTGTTTGTTGCAGATATGTTTCTAGTTCTTGGTTAGAACTTCATAAAAAAATTATTTACTTTTCATCGTTGATAGCTGTTCGATTTCTCTTCATACACTATCTGAACTTCAGTATATAATTTGCTTCAACTTGTTTCTGTTCGCTAACTTTTATATTTTACACTGTTTTCTTTGGTGTTTGAAGGTCTATACGTGTGTTAGTGAATCTGTAGCTGCTAAGTCTATACCACGTTCTACTCCAAAGTTTAAATTTTACAGGCCCGAGGAGACTCCGTGTGCCTTGTATGCGCATTTAACAAACAAGTTGAACACCCTAAGAGAAAAGGTGCGTATATTATAATTGTGGTTCTCTTCCCTATAATGCTGGTGCCTTGTGACTTAACAATTGGTTTACTACTTTTCAGCTTATACTGTCGCTAAAAAGCTTAGAGCTCTGTGAATCTACGTCTGATTCCATAATCAAAAGGATAATGAAAAATTCTTCTGCTTTGACATTCTGTTCGGAGGAACTTGGTGTTTGGATGGCTTCAAAGGTGTTTATTCAATTTCTTTGGCTTTGATTTATTTGAAACAGGCAATCCATGATTGACGTCATTGTTTTTGCATCTGCAAAATAGGCTGCATGGTCCTTGTCACACAAAGAAATTGCCTTGTTCGATTGGGAGAAACTGGACCGGTTGGGTGAGACGACTGTAAAAAGTTTCATTTTGGAAGCTTACCAGGCGTTTATATCTTTTCTACCATCTGGTACGTCTATTTATGCTTATTTGGAGTACTGGTACAGAATGTTGATTTTGATATACATGTTGATGTAGCTTACCTCATTTACTTCTTTCTAATGCTTTTAACACCTTTTCTTAGATCCGTTGTGGACTATCGCTGATGATATTAAACACAATATGGATGAAAGGTTTCTAACTCCCAAAGTTGTCCGTCTCATTCAATTGCTTCTCAAATACACGTTGGCATGCCCTCAATATATTTTTTATGTTTGTCGAAAATGTAGAATGGATTTGACTTTGTTGTTGTCTGGATATGTTGAGACTGAATCAGAAGTTCAGAACATCATTTGTTTCTATAGAAATTATAGCTTTAATTTGTGATGTATATTTCATGAATTGCAATGTACAATGGTTCGGGTATATATAAGGAAGAAGACTAAGAAAAACAAACAACATTCCCCTTAAAACAAGGAATAAAACAAGGAATAAAACATTCCTTAAAACATGGAATAAAACATTCCTTAAAACATGGAACTCATTATTTTCAACACTCCCCCTCAAGCTGGATCGAGGAGGTTCACTTAGCCAAGCTTGCCCAATAACCGATGAAACTGAGATGATGCTAGTGCCTTTGTAAAAAGATCTGCTAGTTGATCATGGCTTCGTGTGAACATGGTCCGGATGATTTGCGTTTGAACTTGAGCTCTGATGAAATGACAATCCACTTCAATATGTTTGGTTCTTTCATGGAACACAGGATTGGCAGCAATGTGCATGGCTGCCTGATTATCACACATAAGCGTCATAGGAGTAGAATTAGGAAACCCTAAGTCTGAAAGAAGCCCTTTAAGCCAAATGAGTTCACAAGCAGTGGCTGCCATGGCTCGATACTCAGCCTCTGCGCTGGAACGAGCAATTACCTGTTGCTTCTTACTCTTCCATGTGACAAGGTTTCCACCAACAAATGTACAATAGCCTGTGATTGATTTCCTATCAATTGCATTACCTGCCCAGTCTGCATCTGTGTAGCCACTAATGACAGTGGACTGATTGTTATGCATTGTAATTCCTTGCCCAATTGAACCCTTAAGATAACGAAGGATTCTCTTAACAAGGTTAAGGTGATCAACTGTGGGAGAGTGCATGAACTGACTAGCCAAGCTCACTGCATATGTGATATCTGGACGAGTGATAGTGAGGTATATGAGCTTGCCTACTAATCGTTGATAGTAGCTTACATCATGCATGGCTTCTCCATCTATGCTGAGCTTCAGTTTACAATCAACAGGAGTGATAGCAGGCTTGCAGTCAAGCATTTTTGCTTCTTGAAGGAGGTCCAATACATATTTCCGTTGATGTAGAAACAGTCCTTTTGAAGATGTTGCCATTTCGATCCCCAAAAAATACTTTAACCTTCCCAAATCCTTGATAACGAAAACTTGATGTAGTGAAAGTTTTAGTGCCTCAATCTCCACGGTATTATCTCCAGTGATGATAAGATCATCAACGTAGATGAGGACCACCAACTTCCCTTTGGTGCCAGTTCTTACAAATAGCGAAGAATCAGCATTACTTCGCATGAATCCAGCCTTTTCCAGAACAGAACTGAGCTTGGCATACCAAGCTCTTGGTGATTGTTTCAATCCGTATATTGCCTTGTGCAATTTACAAACCATGTTGCCTTTAATACCATCATAGCCTGGAGGAGGTTGCATATACACTTCTTCCTGCAGCTCGCCGTGAAGGAAAGCATTCTTCACGTCCATTTGGTAGAGTGACCACCCACAATTGATTCCAACTGACAGTAAAACCCTGACTGAGTTCATCTTGGCCACCGGTGCAAATGTTTCCTTATAATCTACACCAAAGGTTTGGGTGAAACCTTGAGCAACAAGTCTAGCCTTGTGTCTCTCGATAGATCCATCAGCTTTGAATTTAGTCTTGTAAATCCAACGACTTCCAACAGCCTTCTTTCCTGGTGGTAGTTGAACTAGGCTCCAGGTGCAATTCTCTTCCAGTGCACGAAGCTCTTCTTTCATGGCTTGGTTCCATTGTGGGAGAAGAAAAGCTTCTTGAAAGCTTCTTGGTTCATAGTGCTTATCAATTTCACTGAGAAATGTAGCATGAGATGTTGAGAACTTACTAAAGCTGATACATTCATTGATTGGATGTCGTGAGGCATATGTAACATAGTCCTGCAACCTAACTGGAGGTTTTCTGATTCGAGGAGGATTTCTTTTAATCACCTGAGACTCTGTAGAGGGCGGAGAATGATCAGAGTAGGGCTCGTCTTCACTCTCACTGGCAGTAATTTGGTCAGTTTGAACTTCTTCACGATCTGGACTTACACTGACTGATCTATTTTCCAACATCGGATAATTAAAGTTTTGAGGAAGTGGGAACATGTCAACTAAATCCTCCCCCTGACTTGTAAAATAGGGATAGTCTTCTTCGAACTTCACATCTCTTGAAACTGTGCACTTCTTAGTGACTGGATTGAAGCACTTGTATCCCTTTTGAGTGGTCGAGTATCCCATAAACACACACTTGGTTGCCCTGGCATCTAGTTTGTCACGGTTCAAGGTTTGGATGTGAACAAAACACACACAACCAAACACCTTGAGATGTGTCAAGTCTATTTTCCTCCCCTTAAGAACTTCATATGGAGATTTAAACCCTAGCACACGACTTGGAAGTCGATTGATGAGATAAGTGGCAGTAAGGATGGCAAACGACCAAAATTTCTTTGGAACGTGCATGTGAACCATGAGAGCACGAGTTTTTTCCAAGAGATCTCTATTTTTCCTCTCGGCTACTCCATTTTGTTGGGGAGTCCCCACACAGCTGGTTTGATGTATGATACCCTGAGAACTTATGTATTGAAGCATATTGTTGGATAGAAATTCAGTGCCATTATCTGACCTTAAAACCTTAATGTTTGATTGAAATTGCGTTTTAACATGCATGTGAAAGTCTTTGAAAATGGTAGGGACTTCACTTTTTGATTTCATAAGATATAGAAAACTTGTTCGAGAGAAATCATCAACAAATAGAACAAAATATTTAAAACCTTCCATTGATTCAATTGCAGGTCCCCATACATCGGTGTGTACCATTTCAAAAGGTTTACTTGTCCTAGACATTGAATTACCAAAAGGTAGCCTAGTAAACTTAGAAAATTGACAAGTATCACAAGTAGGATAAGGGTTACAAAAATTTGGAAACAGTTTCGACAAGACAAGTTCAGAGGGGTGAGCTAATCTCCTATGCCAAAGTTGGTTTTCATCTATGGACTTTGATTGAGCTTGAAGAGCCTGAGTGAAACATGCATTCTTGCACAGGTAGTAAAGTCCATTTATGAAGACCCCTTCACCAATCATCTTCATGGTGAGAACATCCTGAAACATCACTTTATTTGGTGAGAAAATAGCACGGCAGTTTAGGGTGTTGGTGATCTTTCCAATTGACAAAAGTTGAAAAGGAAAGGTTGGTACATAGAGGGCAGTGGAAGGTGTTTTTTGAGAGAGTAAGTTTATTTCTCCTTTTCCCAAAACTAAGACATTTTTTCCATTTGCAACAGACACATGTGAGGGGCTTGAAAATTTTTTAAAATGATGTAAATTTGTAACTTTGTTTGTCATATGATCTGTGGCGCCTGAATCAATTATCCAACAATCAGTTTCAGTACTAGTTAATAGGGCAGTAGTAAAGGCTTTGAGTATACCTGATGCTTCTCCCTTTGGAACTTTCTCATTTCCAGCAAGAAATCCGGCAAATTGTCCCAACATAGCTGTGTGACTACCCTCTTCATTGCCTTGACCATGTGAGCCTCCTCCGTGCCCCTTACTTTGTAGGTAAGCTGCAAATTCATTGATCAATGACAATGGATTGGCAGTGAACTCCATGGATCCTTGTGAGATAGTAGGAGCTTGAGCATTAGCAAGTTTTGCCTTGAAATGAGGTTGAAATTGTTGTGAGGACCTTGGTATCATCCTTCCATCTTTGCTGAACTTAGGCTTGAGTTCAGGATGAAGTTCCCAACACTTGTCTTCCTCATGACCAACACCATTGCAATATTTGCATTTTAGATGTGTGTTTCTTCCCTTGTATACCTTGGCTTCTGAGTTCTTGTAATTTGATGCATATGCCCGAGTCTCCGTTAATCTAGGATTGTGATCAACATTCATAACCTTCTTCCTTGCTTCTTCTCGTTGGATAGTTGCACAAACATTGTTGAAGGTAGGCAGGTCTTGACTCATCAAGATGTGACTCCTTAGGTCCTCGTACTCAGAGCTCAGACTCCCTAACAGCTGATAAATTTTGTCTTCCTCAGCTCGTTTTAGGAGAATGGTAGGATCTGTGGTATGAGGGAGATATACATCCAACTCATTCCACATGGCTTTGAGACTCCCAAGGTGTTGAACAAATGCTTTCCCTTCTTGTTGAGCACTGGCAATGTCCTTCTTTAATTGGAAGACCCGTGCATAGTTGTTTTGATTTCCATACATATCCTGCAAAGCTTTCCAAAGATCATGGGCGGAATTGGAGTAGCTAAAAATTTCAGCAACATGTTTCTCCATGGTGTTGAGCAGCAAGGACATGACAAGTTGATCTTTGCAGAGCCATGCATTGTATGTAGGGGAAGAACGATCTGGAGCTTCCACGCTTCCATTTACAAACCCTAACTTCCCTTTGCCTCCGAGAGCTTGTGAAACAGCTCGGGACCAAGGAAGATAATTGAACTCGTTCAAGAGAACTGAACATAAACGTTGATTGGTGTTAACCTCAACGTCTGAGGAGTTTGGAGAGAGATTGTGCCGGGTTTCCTTATCATGGTTGACAGAACTTTCTTCAGTCATGGCTTAGACTTTGAAAGAAAGAAAAAATCGCAGCAGCAAGAATTGTAGAGACAGGTTACAAATGAACCTGCTCTGATACCATATAGAAATTATAGCTTTAATTTGTGATGTATATTTCATGAATTGCAATGTACAATGGTTCGGGTATATATAAGGAAGAAGACTAAGAAAAACAAACAACATTCCCCTTAAAACAAGGAATAAAACAAGGAATAAAACATTCCTTAAAACATGGAATAAAACATTCCTTAAAACATGGAACTCATTATTTTCAACAGTTTCAGTTTTGCATAATATAGACTGAAGCAAGTTCAAAAGCAGACGAGTCCGCATGTGGACGTGCAAGCATTTGAACGCTCAGTTGTTCTTTTTTTAAAAAGGCCAAACAATCAAAATCAAATAGGATGTTCTCATTTTTTTTTCTTAAACTTGAACATCCCCACATTTATAATTCTCCTATTTTCTGCTTCTTAGGAGCTTAAAGG